CACATTCAAAGTTATAAGTCGATTTTTTACGTTTGGCGTTGAAAATGGTGCATGAAATTCAATATATTACATTTTACCTTTCATTTATGTCGGCTTGAACACTGAGATCAGCGATTTATTTTTTAATAGATGTCAGTTGAAATACTTGCAAATTATACTATTTCTCTAACTTTCTCTCGTAAAATCACTTTCCAAAACAGCGCCAATACAGAAATGCGCTGATTTTTAATTACGTGTCAGTTAAAGATCTTGAAAATCATACTGTTTCCTCACACTTGCTAAATCAGTGCCAAAACAAAAAAAATCCGCAGGTACAAAGAAATGTGCAACAGTTTGGCTGACAGACTGCGAGCGTACATGCACGCGGACGAGCGTTCTGCCAAAGAAATTCGCAGTTTGCTTCTCGAGAAGAAAATCCTCTCGGATCAACTGAAATCTGCCAAATCCAAGCCCGTCATCATCTCTAGAAACGTCTCCATCAATTTCCCCGGCGCGAAAAACGGCACAGTGCCCGAATCGTCTACGCAGGACCGTGAGCATCAGGACCAAATTGCCAGAGAAGGCACGGGAGAAGATGTCAAACGAGTTTTGCACGATGACTGCGGAAATAGCGGAGATGAGAAGGATCTCGAAGGAGAACCAATTGAACCTCAAGGAAAGCTCGAGAATAATTTCTGCAGTCCTGGCAAAGATCTGAAAGAAGAGTGGCTCGAGGATAATTCCGTTACGCCTGACCTCAAATTGGAAGAAGACGGATTTAAGAATACTTGCAAACATCGTCGGCTAGATGATGAACCACTCCCAGGTGATCGAAGCGCCACAAAACAAAAAACATCGTATCCGCTGAAATTACTGACGATTAAATCGAAAAAGATGAAATACAACTCCTGTACAAAATAATTGTATACAAATTCCAAGAGTAGAAGAAAATACTTCTTCGAATGCATGACATTTCTCCGTGTATGAATCAGGTGATCGAAGCTCAAAGAAAAAAATCATATCAACTGAAGTTACTGACGATTAAATCGAAAGTGATCAAATACAACTCCTGTACAAAATAATTGAATACAAATTCCGAGAATAGAAGAAAACACTTCTCCGAATGCATGACGTTTATCCCCGTATTAATCTAGGAATTGTCTTAGAATTTATCCTGGCTAAGATTTCAGCGAAAAATCAAGAATATATCATCGGCGAATGTGTACTTGAACGTTTTAGGGAAAAAATCGGTGGGGTAACAAGGAAAAAAGCGTTGAACGTTGAACAATCCTCTTTTTGATGAAATGTTCTAAAATAGCAAAGATACAATAATATTTCATTTTAAAATGGAAGCTCATCCCAGAAACATTCTCATTTCGCGTCAAAATTCGGCTTCTCACAATAATATGATTTTCAGGAGAGAACTTTTCAAATAAGTGTATTTTTGAAATGGTCAACGGCATGAAAAGAAAAAAATATATACAATGAACACTACTGTACTCTAAATCAATCGAATCGATTCTTGAGCAACAACCGGTGTTACTTCATTTTAAAAATCTGTAAAAAATCTTTTTCTACGTTAAATTATTCACGCTGAACTCTTGATGGAACGTTCCTCATATAATTGCACAAGTTCGATAAATAAAAATCCTCTGAAATTTTCGAAAAATCTACTTTATTCTCGCTTTACAGTACTGTAATTTTTTTTAAATTTAATACCACTCGGAATTGAGACAAGCCTCGGACATGGAAAGTTCTTTCAATTTTCTCAACAGCAGAATCTTATCCTGAGCCACCCGAGCAATTTTCAACACTGTCTCCGAAAAAGTCGCAAGATCTGACCATCACCTTGAGTTCTACCAAGTCCTTTGATCCGACGGATTACAACGATTCTGGGAATATGCAAACGGGAACACCGGGCGAATCTCCGTCGGAATTTGACAAGGACGAGTCTCAATCAGAAAAACGCTGTCGACATACGCGAGAAGCACTTCAAACTCTCTTGAACGTCATCGTATCGTCAAACAGCGACAATGAGGAAATTGAGGCCAAGAAAAGCAATGATGGCATTCTGAAATTGGCTCTGCACAGACTTGCCAGTGAGTTGATGCTATTTATGTCAATTGCTTCATGTGAAGAGTTACTCAGAAGAGAATTAAAGCGAGCCCCCCCCCCCCCCCAGATGCGGACATAATTGATGCATCAGGAGTGTCCCTGAGTTGAATTGTCCCTAAGTCGAGTCTTGTTTTCCCATGGACTTACATTAAATAATTTTTAATTGGTGTTTTATGAAAGAAATATTCAGAATTCCATGAAAAAAATGGTTTGCCACCTGGATTTGATTCAGTGAATATCTTTTCAACTCAATAAGAACATTTGGAGCATTGAACAGTGTATCTCTGTACTGTACATTGAAATGCTGGCATCTACAAAACTAACATTCAAGTCACAAAGAGAGAAGGAAGTCCCTCTATGCTATAGGTAATTTTTTAAATTAGCTGAATGGATGGGAAAGTGATGAAAAAATTAACGAAGAATTTTTCTTGCATAGATTGTAGGGTTGGAAATATCTGTTTTTTGCAATAAAGCCAAATAAAAGTCAATTTTTTTGAAATTTATTGGCAATTTCATCATGCAATGTCCTCATGTTGAGTCAGCGTCCATATGTCGGATTTTTTAAGCCCTTTTTAATGAAAAATAAATGTTCCTATGTTGAATTTTCCTCATGTCAAGGTGTCCACATGTGGGGTTCACATTGTACAGTAATTACGAAAAGGTTAGCTCAAAAGTTGCTGTACGAGCGTTGTCCCAGTTGAATGTTACTGTTACAGAGAATGTCAACATTTCTATCCACTGTACAGAGGTATCAGTATTCAATTCCCCAAATGTCCATATTGTGTTGAAATACTGTATATCAATTGAATCACTTTCAATTGGGAAACAATTTTTATTTTCGTGGAATTATGGTGAGTATTTGGTA